TAAGTTTGGGAATTGTTGAGTTGGGATTTTGGAGATAGGTAATAATGTCATCTGCAAAAAGTCCTATTATATGTTCCTCCTTTGCTATATTGATCCCTTTCAGCTCTTTAGCCTGATAGCCTGAGCCAGAGGCTCTATGAATATTGCAAAGAGGGAGGGGCTAAGGCAGCAACCCTGGCGAGTGCCTCTAAACAGCTTAAAACTACCTGTCAGATGGCCATTGATCTTTATTCTAGCGGTTGGGTCTCTATATAAAGATTGTATGCACCTAATGAATTGGTTATTAAAATCCAGCCTCTCTAGCACTCTGTACAGAAAAGACCAGCTGACTCTATCAAACGCCTTTTCCGCATCGAGACTGACCAGAGCTGCACTTAGATGTTGTTTGTTAGCCTGTTCTATAATGTGTAAGGTTCGTCTGATGTTATCCTGTGTTTGTCGACCTTTTATAAACCCTGTCTGATCTTCATTTATTAATTCGGGTAGAAAGTGTTCAATTATTTTTGAGATTATAGATGTAAACAGTTTATAATCTACATTCAATATAGAAATTGGACGGTAAGATGCACAACATTCTTTATTTTTACCTTCTTTTGGGATGACTGATATCACGGCCTCTTTCCATGATGGTGGTGCTTCAGCTTTGCTGAGTGTCCAATTTAAGGATTCTGGCAATACAGGGGCAAGGTCTTCTTTAAAGATTTTGTACCATTCATTCGGAAAACCGTCACCTTTCCATATTCAAATCACAAATCAAAACCCACCTAATCAGAACTGCTTTTAATGTGTGACCGATATTATGTGTTTTATGTTTTTAGTGTTTAGCTTTTTATGATGATTTTAATGTAAAGTGTCTTTGAGTACTCTTAAAAGGGCTCAATAAATAAAATGTATTATTATTATTATTATTATTATCGGTGGTGATGATGTTGATGATAATAATACCAACAAACACTATTTATGTAGTCACTAAACTTACCTTTCAGTTATATTATATTTCCATTTATTTATTCCTCCTCATCCTCCTCCTCCCTCTTCTCCTCGCATACCTGCTCATTCCTCTCACAGCTATTCGTTCGACATCTTTGTCCATATACATCAATTATTATGTTTATTTAGTCCCTGGGAAAACATTTGCATTTTCTTTTATGAAATATGACACAAAAAATAACCTTTTTTAATCATAGTGTGAAGCGTGCCTTTAAAAAAAAGGCACGCAACGTGTCAATCAAACATATGGTTTGGATGTGGCAGTGTCAAAAATAACAAAACGAGGAGTAGGAAGTTATTTAAATGGTATTAATTTAAATATCGAATACCCTAACATCTTTGAGAACATGTCTTAGCCTCCCAACTGTGAAGACAATCGACTCGCATACAGGATAACAGCAGCTGAGCTAGCATTATGCTAGCTACGCCAACGAAATGTTGGAGTAGAAATAGGTTTTTAAAATGATCTCAGTGGTTCATTCCAAATGCTCTGATCACTTCCTCTTGTTTTCCCACAACTGCCTTGTTCCGAGTTTATATTTCAATGTGCACTATGACCTCAGAACCACTGTAGTGAGTGGAGCCACATTTACTAAATCTGACATATTAATACATACAGTATGAAAGTTAAATGTTATGTAAATGATACATATAGTTTGGCTGTATAGTAACAGTTGTCCTTCTTAAATAACAATGACAATCTCTTTGAGTTTCTAAAAGCTAAGTTGTTATTACCACACAGTAAAGGACTAACTGAAGTCTCGTCATTCTGTAAATGAATCATGGTCATGTTTAAGCAAACTATGAGTAGAATGTGTGGGATTTAATCATTGATTGTGTGTGTATGCAATTTAGGATGAATACCAATTTTCTTCAGCGCATATTTAGCACTTCTCCCACACACACTTCTATAATGAGCACTCAGCATTTTTGGCCACAACATTATGCATGTAGTTTCTATTACCATGGTCTCTGGAAGCATCAACAATATGATGATATGTTATTAGAGGGAGTGGAGAGTATGGAAGCCCTGAGAGGAGAGTGAGAAAATAGCTATTGATGAAACAGATGAAAACAGTTGTGTCAGGAGAAACTTTTTCTTTTCAGTATAGTTTGTCCAAGTGTTCATTGTTGTAATACATATTTGATCCTTTTAGCTTTTAGTCTTATTGAGACTCTCTATTGGGTAGAGGTGCAAGTCAGCCTATTGTGGCTGGAATGAGTGTGACAACAGTAAACACTGATTCAGACCAAACTAATAATAAAGAAAACGACTGACAAAATGATTTTGAATTGACCTGTTTTTACATATTAAAAAAATAAAATAAAATTCTTTCTTTTCATCTTTTGTCCTTTACATGTTTTCCCACCTGTTTCACAGATGAATAAAAAGAGATTAATGAAGTGTGTTTTACAACGTGTTACAGCCCATTAGTATTTAGAAATGGAGGGGTTGGGGGGGGGGGGGCTATTGTGGGTTGTATTCATATGACATAATAGTGCAGTGGTTGCTGCAGACGAACCTGCAGAGATCGGCACTCTACTGATAAATGAATATGTACACCGTTGCAATTCCAATTCTACCCACATGTTGATTTGAAAGGAGATCAACCTATTGTGTGGAATAGTATTGCTTTGCTCATGAGAAGGCAGTTTTAATTAGATTAAAGAAGAACAAATGTTGGCAGAGGATGGCTAAAGGGTAGGCTGTCTTCCACAAAGCTAGTGTACATTTCATCTGCACCCGAGGTTAGGATCAGTCCACGTTTTAAATTTAAATTAAACGAGCCGTCAAAAGCCTCTACATGATGATTTTAAGACAGTGGAGGCCAGTCCATACATGAACAGAGAGAGAGAAAGAGAAAGAGAGAGAGAGAGAGTGTCACAGTTCAGCTCCACACCCTCCTCACTCTACTTGTCAGTCACTCCCTCCTCATCAGTCTAAACTCCCTTCACCTGTTCACTCACCTGCCTCTGATCAGTAATCAAGCCCCTATATAGACTCCTGCCTCCCAGACACATTTGCCAGATTGTTCTTCGGTTTTCCATGCCAAACTCTCCAGCACACTCTCACGGATTGATCGCCTGTTACCGACCCTGCCTGCCCCTGTTCTACCCGCCTTGCCTGACTCCCGGTAAACCCACCAGCCTTCTGATCCTGACTCTGATTAAACTCTGCCTGCTGTATCTGGAAGTTTGCAATAAAGCCAAAGATCCCTGGAATCTGGTGTGTTGCATTTGGGTCCATGTACAACCCGTTACAGAGAGGGAGAGAGACGGCAGAGCGGTCGTCCCTTGACTACTCACTGTAATTACTCTCACTATTTAGAGAGCTGTGAAAGCTTAATTAGGCGATGGTGATATTTCTGTCTCCCTGTTGTAGATCAGAGTGGAGATCTCTCCTCTCTCAGGGGCAGACTCTCTGAGCCTACCTTTAGCAGCTGTATCAGGGCCACAAGATGTTACGTTGCTTCACTAAAAGAATAAAGATGTGAATTGGAGAATAGGTTTGGGTTCAGCCCTTTTAGACTGCCAACACACTGTAATGGACAACAAATAAATATCAGTTTCAGCCCCCAAAAAACCCTGGTTTAAATTGAAATTCTGCCAAACAACGTTTTTTTACAACTTGAAAATACAAGTTTTCAGGTGGCAAAATGAGGCATTACACTGGTTAGCATGGCTGTGTTCTGGCAAGCATCAAAAATGAAGAAGAAAAGAGAAAATACAGTAAGAATTGAGGATTACTCAGTTTGTGATATATGATGCTGGGACCAGCTCATCCACAACAGTAACTCTGGTCAGAGGGTAGATGCAGACACAGAAGAGTTCACCTTGTTTTATCTAGTATTGGCTGATGGCAGCAATACAGACCAATCCTCACCATATGCATGAATTATGAATGTCCATGGAAAATTAACATAACTGTGAATGTGTTTTGCCTCACGAACGCATTCTCTGTATAGTGACAAGGGTTCTGTAGTGCACTGATGGTTACGGATATAACCCCTGTTCTAACCTGAATAACACTAGGACCCTGGGCCAGCCAAAGGGGGTGCCTGACTGCAATAACAACATAAAAACCAGTATTTATGGAACTATTAAGGAATTTACAGGAATAGTACAGGGTCTCTGCAGATACAGACACCTCCACACACTTCTGAGACGTTTGATGCATATCTGATGTGAACCTCGGCAGTCAGTAAATTCATACAGTATACATGCTAGCTGCAAAGAGAACATGTTCTTTGCCTGCCAGTTTGGCAGCGGTTGGAGGCTACGACGTCAACTTCGGGAACGCAATGTGCTCCGTCCCTTTTAAGAAAGACTGCTCGTAATACATCAGAACCAAAATGGCCGTGAATTGGCTCAAAAAGGAAATACAAATCCAAGGAGAAAAACAAATAACAGCTTTGTCCTTTCAAAAGTGAGCCTACTAAAAATGTATTTGAGCAAAATAATAATAGACCCGTTCATGTGTATTATAAACACATGCATGGTAAAAAAAAAACTAAAGAAACAGAGCGTCCATGGACCTAAACCCCAGAGAGAATCTATGGGGTTTTGTCAAGAGGAAGATCAGACCCAACAATGCAGACGAGCTGAAGGCCGCTATCAAAGCAACCGGGGCTTCCATAACACCTCAGCAGTAATTCATGCAAAAGGAGCCCCGACCAAGTATTGCATGCATACTGTATATACTGTACATGGACAGACTTTTCAGTTGGCCAACATTTCTGTATTAAAAATCCTTTTTTAAATCGGTCTTATGTAATATTCAAATTTTCTGAGATACTGAATTTGGGGTTTTCATTAGCTGTAAGCCATTATCATCAAAATTCAAAGAAATAAACGCTTGAAATACATCACCTTGTGTGTAATGAATCTATATAATATACGAGTTTCACTTTTTGAATTGAATTACTGAAATAAATGAACTTTTCGATGATATTCTAATTCATTGAGATGCACCTGTAAATGTGACAAAAAGGACAGAAAGAAAATCTTACTGTAAAGTGGTCATCTCAGTCAGCGATGGCTGCGTGGCTTTCAGGTAGCTGGCCCGGCGGGCCTGCATCTTGGGGGAGGGTTTGGGACTGCCGTCAGAGTCCCCACTGTCGTCCTCGGCCATGGCTTTGACGTAGCTTCCGCTCCTCATCCTCCGACAGGGGATGTCGTCCTCCTTCCCCAGCGGGGAGAAGCCGCTCCACTCGTCCTGTGGCACCTGGCGACCGGACGGAGGGGACAGAGGAACACCGTCAGGGGGATCCACTCCGCTGCTGTCCGAGTCCCAGCTACCAAAGTGGCTAGCTAAACTGTCCTGATGGTACATGGACGCTAAGAAAACAGAGCTTAACATGCCGCACAACAACAGACGGGACACTCGGCGAGATCCAGCATCCAAAAACAAATACTGGACTAAACTGATGGCTTGCATTTCTATTAATCCATCACTCAGCGCACACACACACATCCATTCACAGCTCTCACACTGCTGTGGTGCAGTCTGTTGGCTAATTAGCATGGAGCAGTGCGTGTATGTGCTTTGAGTCCATCTAAAATTTCTCTCTGGCTAATTCATACATCTGCTTTCCAGGACTGTGTCCATACATGAGCACAGGAGGGTGCCTAATGTGTGTGTGTGTGTGTGTGTGTGTGTGTGAGCATTCATGTGTAAGGATGAGTGTGTGTGTGTGTACAGTATGTGTCTGCACTGATCTGACCCGGGGTCTGTCTGTTAATTGAGAAAGACTTGTCAGATACCGACTGTGCAGTTATAGACACATGAAGTGAACAGACTTACGAATGAACATAAAGATATAGAAGCAACACTTACGCAGGTTCGTAGAATCACAAACAGAGGTAAAGAGATTATACAGGATGTTCATGTTTTTCAGAAGTGACTTAAAGACTTGGTTCACTCAATTTTCTTCCCTCGTGGCCCTGAAGCCCCTACAGGCAAGCGAGAAAAGATTTGATGATCCATTTTTTAAGTGTGATCTAAATAGTTTTCTCTTTTTTGAATAAAGATTGAAGAGACAGAACCAAAAATCTAAAATACCTGTTTCCTCCAACCTGCAGTGCTATTTATCATGGAGCTAGATGGTACTCGGCTTGTGGTGCTTGAAGCACAAAAAAGTCAAGAGCAACGTCTCTTTCCAGATATCACGACCCGATTACTCAAGATAATCCACAGATCCTGTTGTGAGCAGTTTGATGTAGGAACTGAATTAGCTCCTACACTAGACTGCTTCAAGCACCACAAGCAGAGTGACGTCTAGCTCCAACATATTGGAGAGGCAAACATCTCTACGGCCGATGTCTCCAACATTTGGCAACTCGCACCAAACCATCTCTTGATAAATAGCACTACAGGTAAGAGGAAACATTATGTATTTTACATTTTGGGGTGAACTGTCACTTTAAGAACATTCCTTTATTGTAGTTTCTTGTCTGTGAAACAGGTGGGAAAAAGTTTTGGCAAGTGGCTTCTTTCTTTGGGGTCAGGACCAGTGTTGTTGTAATACTCATTTTGGCCACAAGATACTGAAGCGCACCACCACCCCATGTTCTCCATGAGGCTGAAATCATTCATGTTTCCTTCCGGGTGAGTTTTAATTGACACAATGTTCCGGTATCGGTGTGATGGCGATTAAGCTTTTGGGGGAAACCTTTATTCACAGCTGAGATTTAAATACGTTATGTAGAAAAATGATCCTGGCAAGACGTTCTTCACCGAGCAATACATTTTTTCCCCACCTGGTTCAAGTGTGTAAAAATAAGGTAACTTAGAAAGATATCCTGGCAAAACATTTGTTCACCTGTTCTTCATTCATAAACACAGAAGAGAAAACTATTTCAATCAGACCACCATTGATTTTGTATTTATCTTACTCTCTCGCCTCTCAGGGCTTCTGTATGATCCATCCAGTCACATTCTTTTAAAACACCAACAAAACGACTTTCTGTTTGCTTGGTAGTTATAATACTGTCCAACAATCTCAGGTAATAATGTTGATAGTTATAGTTATGTAGAAATGCTACATTAAAACCTCAAAATAAAATAGCAAGACAACAATGAGAGACCAGCGCAGTAGCTCTACACTGTGTGTAGTCTGGGTCTCATATTCTGTCTGAAGGAGGAAACACAACGATACGCAGAGTACACAGCAAGAGAAAGGACCCGATATAGAAACACATCGGAGGCCTGCGCTGTGAGGGCAGCTCACTGATGTAATTGGCTAATAACTACTTTCGTATAATAACTGTTCTCTATAAGTTTGACATGGACACCAATGAAATGTCCAAATAGAAAGTAAGGAACATATACACTATGTTATAAATGTCACAGTGCCTCCAATATCAAATGTGAAAAATAGATAACAGCAATAAAATACAAGTATATGAAATATGTTAAGTCACTGATATTATAGTCACTATACTGTACGGTTAAGACCCTATAAGAATATTATAGGGATATTATGCAGGAGATGAAATTATTAATTAAAAACAAAACAAAAATAATAATGTGCTGATTTTGAAATTGTTTATTATGGTCTATTACATGCGTTTCTCCTAACAGTTGAACCAGAAAAGATTCAAAATGATTTAGACAGAGTGTTGGTTTTGTTTCTTCTTTCCAACATAACATGGAAGATAACGACGTCCAAACAGCAGAGCGGTGGCTCATACAGCTACAGGCTGCAGTCCTGCGTTACCGTAGCTTTCTCTCAGCACAGGTGGAACTAATAGCTGTAATGAGACTCTATAATAAGCCATGACAGAGGGCCAGCAGGCTCAACACCAGGATCCTGGAACTGGCACACCTTTAATGGGATCGGCAGCCATTATTAATGTTATTAACCTACAGTCCAAATGTAAGGCGAGACAAGGGTCTTTAACAAATGCTCCTCCAGATGTTTAAGACTAAGTTAAAGGGTAACTTTGGTGTTTCAACCATGACACTATTTTCCCATGTTTTTGTGTCTAAGTGACTAATGTGGACAATGAGTTTTGGAGTTTGTTCAGTATCGAGCATGCAGTTATGCCGAGTGAAGCCAAGGCAGAAAATGACTCTACTTCTCTCTTGATTTATTACCTCAGTAAACATTGTAAACATGAGTTTATGGTCTCAATCTCCAGTTTCAAGTCTTCTTCAATACAGCATGATGTTCATTTCGTACATTATGGTCCATTTAGAGTCACACAGACCATAAAGCTGGGGATGCTTTAGGGCGGGGCTACTGTGATTGACAGGTCTCTACCAGAGACGTATACGGCGTCTCTACACCACTCCTCTGCAAGTTGGCGAGGGCAATATGGCCAAACTCGGCAGTCCACAAACCAATGGGTGACGTCACGATGATTACGTCCACTTCTTATATACAGTCTGTGGTATCGAGTGAGGACGCTGCAGCTCAGGACCATTCCGCACTGTCAATGTACGGCCACCAAAAGTCCTTGTTTTCCTACTTACAGGCTCAGATTGTTATTATATATATACAGTATATATTAGTTTCTGACATTATGCAACGAACCCTACAGAAAAAGAAAAGCTCTTTCTTAACCTTTCCTTCGACCTTGTTACTGGTGTCCAACCAAGTCTCGCCCTGAGAAGTCTCGTTCGGAAATCTGGCAAGATGCCATGGCATGAAAAATCTTTTGGATAACTCTAATCTATACTTTCTGTACTCCAAACTTTGTTAGACACAAAAACAAACAGACGGCATCAAGCAGAAGGTAAAGAAGAAGGTGTTATTTCTCTGTAGGGTTCTTTCCGTCATGTTGCAAGACATAAAAACAATCTGAGCCTCAACAAGGCTGCTGAACTGACACTTTACTGATAATAATAACACATGTTAAGCTGTGATCAAGCTACATTATGTCTGTATATGTAGCACAGTCCATACATATAACCCCCACCGCAGATCAGTAGTTTGAATTAGCGTGTTTGTGCGAGCTGGAGGCCAGTGTGAGAGATGGACAGAAAATGACAGACAGTCTCTCTCTCTCTCTGACGTCAAAGAGACACAAATGAGCAGTTTGGCTATAAAAAGCGAATGCGGGGAAAGGACCAGCTGCAGTGGCATCAGCAGCGCCTCTCACCCACGCACGGGCCTCACTTCCACTGCAGCTCACTGATGGTTCTACTGTGATGGCTGAGGAGTGGAGCTGCTTGCTATGGTTCACTCTGCCATTCTCATGCTGTCTGTTCAAACGTTTTGAGGTGTAAGACATCTGTCTGCCCGTGTTTTAAGAAATAAGTCAGTGAGACATCTTAGTGACGGCGTGTGTACAGTACATCCACCGTGTGTTTTACATTACAGGCTGCAGATCGTTTCCTTGGCAACGCTGGGCTGTTTTGATGGCTTCAGGCAGCAGCATCAGAAATAACAGGTACGGCACCGTAACAGCTGCGCTTGCGAGATGCTGAAGATAATCATTTTGCAGTAAAACAAACAGAGCCGAGGGGGGAACGGGGACAGCTCTAACGTTCTTGCTTTGACACGATTGATACAGCTCCCCGTGTTCCGTTCGCCACAATCAAAGGCCATGGTATTGTTTGAAAGGGAAATGTAGTTGTTGTTTTTATATCCCCTCGGTCGTGGCTTTAATGCTTAGCTTTCTGAATTTGTACTCTCAGGCTCGTCTTTGTGCTCCAGGTTTTAAAAAGAAATCCTGAAAGCCTCTCAGTCTGAAAGCACTGTTTACTGAAATCAAACTCACCAGCAGTCTAATCTGCAGAAACAACCGTCATCTGTATTGTATTTGGACTAAACTCAATGGGCCTTTTCCACACTCAACAGTTAATGACTGCATATGTGAGAACATGTCCACATAGCCTGTTGTCCTATCTGTGTCCACCTCATCAGAGCTTATCAGTGCCTCTAGACATATACAGTGATTGAGGATTATATCACCCACTCCAAATGAAGACGAATTCAACAAATGGATCTCACATCGACGAGACATTTTTTGAAATATTTGTAAAAAAACGAATAAAAAGGTTCTCTCTCTAGCTCTTCATTTTGTTAGCTGAGGCTCTGACCAAAAAAATAAGCTCTTTGCTTCACAGACATTCAAAAATGGAACAAAAAGTGTACTTTCCCTTTGTGTCCCCGCTCCTGGCATGATTGCAGTATTTTTGAATAATAAATGTCTGTATCACAGTTAATAAATGAGTCACACTGCTGCTTGTTGAGACTGACAGCAGGCAAAGAGACA